CTTTCCGTCTTGGGATGTTGTGTGGCTCCATGAACCCATCCTCTCGTTGCAGACGGCATGCTGATGACGTCCCAGAGGGTGGAGAGTGCCAGCAGCACCCTCACCAAACAGGTCACCAAAGAGTTCATCAGCCGCACTGTGACATCCAGTGGGACCCTCACCAAGCAGGTGGAGAGACAGTTCTATGAGGCCTGAGCTGGGGCAGCAGGACACTCCATTGGGGCTGACAGAGCTTTGTAGGACCATCCAGGAGGGCTTCACCCAGACTGTGCTTGGGCAGCTCCTCCAGACCTTCTGTGGCACTTTGAGCTCTGCACACTCAAAGCTCACAGTTGGCTCACCAGCTGTGTGCTCACCCTGCAGGACTCATCCTCCCCATCCTGCTCTGCAGCCTCAGTTCTGCAGAATGCACTTGGATCTTCTCCGTAAGCAACCACTGCTCACTCCAATACCACTCCTCAATGCCCACCCATCCAAGCACACCTCCTGCTGCAGATATTCCTCCATGTCTTCATTCTCCCCAGATAAATCAAAGAAAATGATTTATTCTCAGGTGCTCAGTTTTGAAAGGATCCCTGCTGACGAGATCCTGATTTATAGAGGGTCACCACTTATTGGCACAGGCTGCCAAGGGAGGTGGGGGAGTCAGCAGCCCTGGAGCCATTCAGGAACTGTTGAGATGTGGCACTGAGGGACATGGTAGGGATGGGTTGGGGTTGGACTGTAGGATCCTATTGGTCTTTCCAGCCTTAATAATTCCATGATTCTACAATTTCCATCTTTGGCCTGGGCTCTATGGCAGCTTGGCTCTCTGCTGGAGATGGTGGTTTTGTTCTGTTCTGTTATACAAGAGCTGCAAGGTAGTGGGTCAAGGTGACATCTGCTTTCTTACTGTGCCTATTTGTGTCTGTCTTTTGCTGCTAACATTGGTACCACAATAGCAAAGCATACCCTTCCATTTGAATAGCACTACTTATGATGGCCTCTGATGCTTTTTTTTTTTTTTTTTTTTTTTTTGCATACAATATTGTACAGTTTTGGTAGTATATATATATATAAATATAAATATATAAATGTATTTTATTATTTTATATTAAAACAAAAAATGGAGGTGGACGAGATCTATGCAGAGTGATGAGGATACAATTGGACCAAGGCTGATGAGAAGCACTGAGAACAATGAGTTCAGGCCCCTTTGCAGCATCCACATGGATCCATCCAAACGTTGTTCTGCCCATAGCAGAGCACAGCATGCTGCTCCTGGCAGCACACACTCCCTGTGCACACGTGTGCTCTCATGGCTGCATTGTGCCCCAAGTGTCATTGCTTTTTAATTCTCACCTGGTCCCCAGGGCTGTTGGTGATTCGGGTCAACCCAACAGCAGCTCTGTGCACTCAATAAATATTTTCTCTACAGTTTGCCTGTTCCTTTTTGTTTTAATTACATTATTCCCCCACCAAGCCCTCCACCCCCAACAGCAGATGGAGGAAGATGCGCTCCAGGTGTTCGTGCTCCTTGGGAAGGAGGTGATCCCAGCAGGGATGCTGTGCTGGCTTCTCTACAAGGGCAGCACCTTTGCCCCATCGGAGGGTTTGGTGATGTAGAAGGTCGCTGAGCCGCTGTACTTCTCCTACAGGCACAGGAGGAGCAGTAAGTGCAGGTCCCTAATGCCAGGAGCATGCACTCACTGCACTAACAACTTTCCCAGCCTGCAGCTACCAGCACTGAGCTCCTCAATGCCTAGAGATTATTGTTCCCTAGATGGATTTAGCCGCCCCAAAGCTCACCTGGCACCTTTTGCTCTTTTTCTCAATGTAATAAAATCTTTTTGCGGTGCTTTGCAGTCAGCACAGATGCCAAACTTCCCCCCGAGAGTTCAGAGCATCAATGGACATGGGGTGCCCCAGCCCCTGAGTGCCTTAGGATCTCAGCTTCACCATCATCACCTGGGGTTGGCATCATCTCCTTGAGGGGTGGTTTGGGGAGCTTTAAGTCAATCTCTGGGCGCTTTGCTGTGATGTACCTGGATGTGCTGCTGGGCTCTCTCTGCAGCCTCGGCCACCAGCAGTGTCACAGTGCAGCCCCCAAAGCCTCCCCCTGTCATCCGGCTGCCATACACCCCATCGACCTCCAGGGCTGCCGCCACCAGCTGGTCCAGCTCCGGGCAGCTCACAGCATAGTCATCCCTACAATGATCACACAGAACAGTGGGGTTGGAAGAGACCTTACAGCCATCCCGTTTCAACCTGCAGCCACGAGCTGGTTGTCCCCCCACCATATCACATTGTGTAGAAAATGTAGAAAGCCCCGTGCCGTCACATCCTCACCGCAGGGAGTTGTGGCTCTCCACCATCAGCATCCCAAACGTGACATAATCCCCATCCCGCAGTGCCTGTGCTGCCTGCGCCGTGCGCTCGATCTCACCAACCACGTGCCTGGCACGGCGGTACACCTCCTCATCCAGCTGGCTCCTGGATGCTGCAGAGACACACACAAACCCTACAGCAAACCCCACGCTGCCTGGAGCCGACGGATGCTCCGTGCCCACCTTCCAGCTCGGCCATGGTGACATCCCGCAGGGTGGTCCTGCCCAGTGCTGCTGCTGCCTCCTGGCACTGGCGCCGCCGCGCAGGGTACTCACTGCCCGTCAGTGTGTGCCGCACGTTGGAGTTGGTGATGAGGACAGCCAGGTTGGCATCACGCAGCGGGACGGGGACAGCATCCAGGGACCTGCGGGGAGGTGACAGCGTCCACCCCCACTGCGGCCACGTGGCACCCAGCAGGGTCAAAGTCTGTGTGGTTTAGGGTGGTGACGCAGTGGAACAGGAGGCCCAAGGAGGCTGTGGATGCCCCATCCCTGCAGGCATTCAAGGCCAGGCTGGATGTGGCTCTGGGCAGCCTGGGCTGCTGGTTGGCGACCCTGCACACAGCAGGGGGTTGGAAACATAGACCATAACGACTTTGCCTGGGCAATCACCACAAGGAGGAACCATTTCCTTGGATGCTCCAATGGGTCTTTTGGACACTGAGGGCTATCCCCAGCCCCACAGTGGGCTTATGGGTTGGGGGTTAACACCTCCTAGTGCTCCTGTATGGCTGTGTGTATATCACGGCCATGGGACCAGCAGGTGGTGCCCAGGAGGTGCTGACCTGCAGTCGATGAGCAGCGCGTGGTTCTCTTTGCCCATCACTGATATGAACTGATCCATGATCCCGCAGGGCATGCCGGCAAATGTGTGCTCTGCCTGCTGGCACGCCAGAGCCTTGGCCACCAAATCACCATCGTCTGTAGCAGGGAGGAGAGGAGCAGGTGAGCAGTGATGGGATGAGCACCACACAGTGTGCCCAGCACTGAGCCTTCGTTCCTCCCTTGGGAGGATTTTCAGTTCATGGGATGTGGGGAAAGCCTTGCAGGATGAGGTTTGCATTTCTGGGGACATGAGGGTGGGGAGAAGATGCTCCAGATGGAATGCTCCACCCATGGGCTCTAGGGACATGGGCAGCTCGAGTGGGACCTGTGCCTCATTCCACTGCAGCATCTCCCCAGGACCTCCCCAAGGACGACCCCATCCTACAAAGAAATGGGGGCCGCACCAGGGCAGAGCTGCTGCAGGAAGGTGTATGTGGCCACTTCCAGAGAGGCAGAGCTTGAAAGGCCACCACCCAGGGGAACATCGCTGGAGATCACAGCATTGAAACCCGGCACGGGACCGCCTGTGGGAACAGAAGGGAAGACATGGGCTGTGAGTTCCCATAGGGCTTGGGGCTGCCCTGCCCCACGGAGATCCCGGCAGAGGGGAGAGCCCCTTCAACGTCCCATTTTAAATGCATGGTGACCACTGTGGTCACACAGTTCCCCCAAAGCTTGGTCCCAACAATAGCTGTGGGGCGGCAACATGATGCTCCAAAGGGACTTCTGGTGTGCACCAGCCTCCAGCCCACTTGAAGCCCCGTGCTATGAGTGTGACCCTACACGAGAGGCTCTGACCTTACCCCGGTAGTGCTGGATCACACCTTTGACGTAGTTGGCCCAATGCGGTCGCCCCGGGCTCAGGGGGCGGCTTTGAGTAGGAGCCGAGAACTGCACCCTATGGGGCTCGTCCGCCCCCGGCGCGGTGGTGAGGATGGAGATGGTCCCGTCCTGCGTGGGGGAACCCACCAGCACCGTGCCCAGCTGCAGGGCCTGCGAGGGGCACACGTGCTCGGCGCCAGCCCCACGGCCACGTCCCCGGCGGTGTCCCCCAAGGGACAGCCGGTCACAGCCCGCTGGACACCGCAGGGCACGTTCGGGTGGCGGCGGGGGGCTGATGCGGGGCACGGCCCTCCCTTACCATGGGCAGCACGAAGCCGCCGTTGTAGTCGGTGTGCTCGCCGATGAGGTTGACCCTCCCGGGAGCCCACGCAGCCACGGCTGCCGCCCCACCGAAGGCCGCCTCGTACGCCTCGCGGGCGGCCGCCAGCAGCGAGCACGGACCCGGTTCCGCCACCGCCGCCATCGCCTCTCCGCTCCTCCCCGCCGGGCGGGGACAGGCTGCCCGCTCCGCCCTGCTCCCGGCCCCGATCGGAGCCGGCGGCGGCGGCGGGATTCGAACCCGGGGATGTGAGGGACGGCAGAACGCGAGTCCCTGTGCGAGACGCGCGCCCCTATAGATGCGTTATGTCTGTTTACACCCAGATCCACATCCATATCCATACCCCTCTATGCTTTATTTTTACTTAATTATCATATTATTATCACTTGTATATCTATGTGTATGGAGATACGTATCTCTATATATCTATGTATGTATGAATATTCCTCTACCTATATACAAATATATACATAATGATAGAGAATACGATAATACAGAAATAGATACCTACACACTTACGTCTATGTTCTTCCCACATACCTACAGATCTATGCCGACGTGTCACACGCGCTGAGCCACGCGCTGAGCAGCACACCTGAGCTGGGTGCGCCCCCCCCGGGCCGGGCGGTGCCTCCCGGCTGTGCTGCCCCGGGCCAATGGCCGCCACGGAACCGCTGCTGAGCGCCTTTAAAGGTGAGCATGGGGGTAGGGGGTGCCCCATAGTACGAGCTCCCCCTGTTAGGGTCTCCCTGTTAGGGTCTCTATACGGCCTGACTCGCTGTTTGCGTTGCGTTGCGTTGCGTTGCGTTGCGCTGTGCCTGGCTGGGAGGAAGTTCCCCTGCCTTTCCAGCCGGTTTCTCCCTGCTCGGAGGTCCCAGCGTGGCTCCTATGGGTGCAGCTCTTCCCCGATCCCCGCATAGGTGCGGTGCTGCGGCTGCGGGGTGACGGCTCTCCGTGCACCGACGCTTCCCCGCACCTGGCGGCCGCCTGCGCGCTGCTGGAAGGAGCCCTGCGGAAGGGGCTGCGACGTGAGTGGCACCGGGGGGGTGAGGGAATGGAGTGGGGGTTTTGTGTACAGTCGAGGCACCTCCGCTTGTTTTGTACTGCAGAGCCGCTGTGGGGCTTCAGGAGAAGGGATTATTGGCAGTGCCTGGAGCAGCTTTCCCTCGGGGAGGGAGGGAGGTGAGTGGAGTTGGGGGGGGAGAAAGGGGGGAAGGGCATGGTGGGGTCACCCCGGCTGAGGGGAGGATGTTTGTCCATGTGTTAAACCCCACAGAGCCCGAAGGCTGCCCCAGGGGTAAACCCTAAACTGCTTCCCCTCTCTGTGAGCAGGCTGAATCCCAAAACCCACTATGCTGTCCCATGGGTTAAACCCCAAACCCTTCCCATCTCCCCAAATCCCAACTGCTCTGGATGTTCCTCCATCTATTAACCCCCAAACCTTTCTCTCCAAGCAGACTAAATCCCAAAGGCTTCCATGTGGGTTAAACCCTAAACCCTTCCCTTCTCCCCAGACTGAATCCCAAAGACTGGATGTTCCCCTTTTGATTGGATGTCAGGGGGAAGTTCTTTACTGTGAGAGTGGTGAGGTGCTGGAACGCTGCTCAGAGAGGCTGTGATGCCCCATCCATCCCTGGAGGTGTTCAAGGCCAGGTTGGATGGGGCCCTGGGCAGTCTGGGCTGGTATTAAATGTGGAGGTTGGTGGCCCTTCCTGCGGTGGGGGGGTTGGAGATTCATGATCCTTGAGGTCCCTTCCAAACCAAGCTGTTCTGTGATTCCTCCATGTGTTAAACCCCAAAGTGCCCAAAAGCTCCCCCATGTGTTTATCCCCAAACCCTTCCCCTCTCCCCAAGCAAACCACATTCCAAAGACCATAGATCCCAAAGACCATGCCTTCTGCCCCCTATGTTAACCCCTCCCCTTTCCCCAAGCAGACCGGGCCCTCTCTCCAGCAGCCTCCATAGAGCCTCTACCTGCACGAAGGCACTGACAGCGCAGGGCCGTGGCCGCTGCTTCCTGCGCTCAGCCCTGCAGTGCAAAGTGCTGGCAGTGGCCATGCAGCAGCTGGTGCAGAGCCCTCAGCTCCTGGAGGTGCGACATGTGGGGACTGCTGGGTTCCTGGTGGCTCTGAGGTGGTTTCATGGAGTCTTGTGCTGTGTTTCAGTTCTATGACTCGTCGGGCTCCATCCTGGGTAATGAAGAGCTGCGGGGTAAGATGCTTTGCAGGTGTTTTCTGTGTTAATTCTTGTATCAAGGATGCTCTGAGGGGTGCACAGACTGTGTGGTCCCTGCACCCCTTAGGAGACCAGGCCACAGCAACAGCCTTTCATCTTGGTTTTGATGAATAACCCCAGGTTAACAGCCTCCCTAAGTGCTGGTGCAGCTCCTCAGGAGGCTGCCAAGGGCTGGCTCTGGGTGCTGCTGGGGAGAATTTAGGGGGGTTGCTCCCTACAACATCATTAGTGATGCTGCAGATTGGCTCCCTGCGGACCTTGGCTGCATCCCTGAGAGACTGCAGCCACTGGGACCCTGCAGTAATGCTGCCTCTGTCCCTTCTTCCTCTGCAGAGCCGTTCCTCTCCCTGGTGCTTGTGCTGACAGAGGTGGATTTCTCCCTGAACCTGCAGGTGCAGGAATGAATGGTGGGGTGGGGGGTACAGCCCCCTCCTCACCAGCACCAACAGCACTGCACTGCTTTGTTCACAGAACTGCAGCTTCTTGGATGAGAGCTGGCTGCTGCCGGTAAGCACTCCCTGCTGCTGCCTGCTCTGGCCCTTGCTGGGATGTCAGATGGGAAAAACAAGCATTGGTTGGGGTTGCAGGGATGGCAGCGCAGTTTCAGCCATCTGCAGTTGGAGGGATGCATGTGGAGCTGCCTCTGTGCCGGGGTTGGAGCTTGCTGGGTGCCTGCGCTGTCACCAGGCGCTGATCCAGCATTGCCCTGGGTGTGTAGGACCAAGCCAAGCAGCACTGACATAAATGCAGCTTTCCTGTGCTGCCTTCCCCGCTTCACTGCCAAAAAATCATCATTTTTCTGGGATGACACGCAGTGCCTGGGTCACTTGATCTCGCTCTTGTGTTCGCTCAATGAAATATCTATGTGTTCCGAGGCTGTGAGCAGCAGGGATGCCTTGATGGCTTCCAGAAAAATGAAGAGCATCCCTCTGCCGCCATATAACTCCAAAATAAACCCCAAGGAGTAGCCCAACGCTGGGACTGTGGTCAGGAGGCAGAGCTGCTGCCTGACAGTGTTCATGCCTCAATGGACATGAGTGCTCCCAGCTGAACCGGCTGCGTTTTGGGGCTCTGAGTAATGCGATGTGACAGCAAGAGCTGCTGTGAGCAGCCTGGGGCAGGGGCAGCGGCTGTGCAGGGTGAGGGAGGGGGCTCAGAACTCATGTATGGGGCTTATTTGCTTATGAGATGAGGGAAAGTGGCTGGAAACTCCTTTATAAGACTCACTGTGAGCTTTAGGTCGTATCTGTTGGGATCTGTATCTCCAGATCTGGGCTCAACAATTAAGCACAGGGGGACAGGAGGCCACTGATGGTCCTCATGCCATGTCAGGCACTGGGGAGCAGCTCCTGAAGGCCTGGTTTGGTTTCTGTGCCAGAAGTGACCCCCAGGGAGGGGTCCCCATGTTGTCCTACCCTGGTCACACTGGGTGTCCTGTGGCTTTTCTATGGCTGCTGTCACTTCTGCTCTCTTCCAGGTGTGCATCATGTATGACACGGTCCCATGCCGAGAGCTGGGGATGGTGGTGAGGTGGTGATCTGTAGACCTGGATGGCCCTAAAAAGGGGCACATGAGGAGATGAGCACCCCCAGAGCTGAGGCTGTGGATGTCTCGGGTGCTTTTCTCCTCTGTTGGTTCCCCATCCATGGGGTGACTGTCCCTCTGTGTATGGGCAAAATGCTGCCGATGGCACAGAAGGGCTGGGGGTGGTCTCTAGGGCTGAGCTGCAGCTTGGATGCATCCCACAGGTACGTGGATGGCCGTGTCATTGTCATTGAGGTGCTTCCTGGGAGCCAGGCAGAGGTGGACGAGGTGGTGCTGGCTGGGGATGTCCTAGATGAGATCAATGGATGCTCCTTGAGGAATGCCTACAGCGGGCAGGTGGGTGGCATGACTTCACCCTCCCCACGGTCCTCCCTTCGTGCCTCCCCCTGCATTCTTCTCCCATCCTCCTCTCCAGGCCGGGGCGATGCTGCAGAAGCTGAAGGGACAACCACTGAGCCTCCGTGTGCTGCGGTGGCAGGGGCACGATGGTGAGGTCTATGAGCCTTTGCTGCCCTACCTGGAGGCCGTGAAGAAGAAGGAGCCCCATTTCCAGCTCCAGTGTGGCCCCAGGCGCTGTGACAAGGGGGAGAAGCGGAGGGTGCAGGGGGGCAGGTAGGATTGGCACCAAGAGGTGATGGGTCTGTGAGCATCTCCCCCCAGCAACAAGCAGCAGGAGGATCTATGGGTCTTTTTTTTCCCTCAGGCTGCTCTACAACCTGCGGTACCTGGGCCGGATCGGTGTTGGGATGGTGAGGAGATGGGCAGAGATGGGTGGTCTTTTTTTTCTTCTGAGCTTGTTCTTCCATGCTTGTGCTTCTCGCTGTTCCAGTTTGGAGGCAAAGAGGTGCTGCAGAAAGCCATTCCTGCTGTGCTGGAGAGCAGCTCAGCACCACGGGTGAGCGATGGGCAGCAGTGTGTGTCCAACTGGAGAACCTTGGGGGGGCTGAACCCGGTGCTGGGGTGTTTTGGGGCTCGGGTGGCTGCTGCTGGAGCCTCCAGAGGGTTTCAATGAAACTAGCAAAGAAGGCAGAGCGCAGCCCTGGTCCTGAGTACATGTGGGCAGAGCATGGAGCCAGCCCATGGGTGATCATCTTCTGCTCAGCCCAAGCTGGTGTCCTGAGAGCAGGAACACAGCCACAGTGCTGCTGTTTCATGGGTCCACAGTGCTGGAAGATCCTTGGAGGACTGATGGTCCATGCATATTTTTTTTTTTTCATCCTGTTCTTCCTCTTTGTTTTCTTTCTTTTAACCCCGCATCTGAAGCACGATGAAGTTACTCTCTTAATTTGCAGTCTATCTCCCCTTTCCATCAGTGGAACACCAGCAACAGGCAGCTCTGTGTGAAAAGCTGCACTTCATCACTCTGCTCTTGAATAATCTGCCTCGCAAGCAATCTTACTAAAAATAGAGCTCAGGTGCTGTGATCACTGGGGCTTTACTTTCCCCTTTCTCCTCTCCAGGAGGTTTTATTTGATGTGAAGGAAACGGAAATCCTTGTACAAGAGAAGGCATCTCCCAGGGTGAGCACGGGAACCCGAGGCTCTGTTTCTGGCTGATGCACTGAGTTGCAAAGCCCCTTGTCCCCAATTGTCCCCAATGCAGGTCCTGTTTCGCCACCCCTACCCTGCAGTCTCCTGCGTGGGACGCTGCCTGAAGACCAGCAGTGTCTTTGCATTCTGTGTCCTGTGAGCATCCCTGTGCATGGATCCCCTCCCTACAGCTGAGCAGGGAGCCCTGAGCCGACGCAGGGCTGAGATTGGGCATCCCACCCACTGTGGGGATGCAGGCATTGGGAGCACAGGGCTGAGGCAGCGTGGCTGCTCGTGGGATTGCTCTGACATGCTCTCATTGCAGGCCGATGCATTTGTTTCCATATTTAGTGCCTCCTCAGGGAGCCCCAAAGGGAGCACGTTTGACTGCCTGGTGTTTGCATCGAGTTGTGAGCAAGAATGCGAGGAAATCATCCAGAGAATTGGTGAGGGAACGTTTTATTTCTTCAACTATAATTACAGCAAAATGTGGAGTACCAAGAGTTGCCATTCCATTCCACCACATGCAAGAGCTAACTTAATTTTTGTTGAGATCACTGAGCTGAGTGGATACTTTGATAGTTTGGGGTTGGTTTTCTTTCTTTCTTTCCTTTAGAGCAGCTAGAGCATTATTTTCAAAAACAGCTTCCAGGCATTCCCAGATGTTTCATTGTTTTCCACTTGGAGGCAACTCTTGTTTTCGAGGGATGCTATTTTATAACACACTTCTCCTCCAGGAGCTCAGCCCGCTGCTGCAATCCAACACCAGCCCAAGCATCAGTAAATCTCACCACTTACAGTTTCTATTTTTGACTTGCCTAAATGCAAGCTATGCTGCTCCCTGGGCTGGGTGCCCCTCAGGGCTCTTGTGGGATGTCCTTGCCACGTGTGCCCCCAGCAGGCTGTGCTGTCACCACACGCAGCTTCACCGTCCATCCCTGCCTTTCAGGTGGCTGAGCAGTGCTGGTGGATTTGAGGCAGCCAGCTTGAGGTGCTGCTGGCCACAGCCCAGTGCTGTGAATTAACTTCACCTTTTAGACGCAGTGGAGCTTAGCAGCGAGGAAAATAGCTGCTTAAAACCTCGAGTCACTTGAAAACACTTTTAGCGGGCGATAAACGTGGTGAGCAGTGCCTGTGTTTGGAGCAGGGAAGGAAGGGGTGCTGAGGCTGTTGTGTAAGAGCCTGTGGTAATGAGCGTTTGTTTCTCCAGCTGCAGGATTTAAACACACCGAGTGGTTTGTCTGATAAGGGAGGGCTGTGGCTCAGCTCTCCTCAGGCTCTGCTGACCCAGCTGCGCAAGATGCAGGCTCTGGCTCCTCAAACTGGAACTAGGAAGGTTTCCTTGTAGCAGGACATTCCTTTTAGCAGGACATTGCTGTGGAAGGAAGTGCAGCAAAAGCATCTGGTCTTTAAAAAAAAATAAAATTGCAGGGAGAGGCCAGTGCTGACTTCCTGCGTGCCTTCATATATGAACTACTGCTTTTCTGGATTTTTGTCCCTTTGTCTGGATTTTGCAGTGAAATAAATCAAGCTGGACTAGCTCCTATTACTCCCTGTGCAACTTTTGTCTCAACTTTAGCCCTGCTGGCATAGCCTGTTCTTAAGAACTGGCCTAACAATGTAATTTGCATGTTAATTACCTGTTCCAGATGTAGTTTGAGCAGCTTTCCGGTGCCACAACTCTGGCTGTTCCCAGAGACTAGTGAGAAAACCAGACCTGTCAGCAGCTAGCCTGCAGGGTTGTCCTCAAGTGCAGGTTTACGTCTAATCTCGTTTCATCAAAAAAGCTTAGATGGGAAATGAGAATCTAGCAATTTGCTTAGCAGCCTGGATGCTCTCTGGTTATATAATGAGTGTTTCTGCTTGCTCTGGCATGGCTGCTGCCTTGCCCTTAGTCACAAGGCTGAGATCCCACAGGAAGCTGGGAAAGGCGGAGGGCTGCACTCCCACAGCCTGCATCCGCTCACAGCCCTGACCTGGGCAGATGCTGCTGGATTCACTTTAGACAAACCAGTCCCACCACTGCAAAAAAAAACCAACATAACTTCCCTTCAATGTGGAAGGAAGAGGGAGGGGGGGGAAAAAAGCAGAAGTTCTGAAGCTGGGCCTGTGCTGCTGCCACTGATAAGCAGCTAAGCTTCAAACAAGGGAGCCCCAGAGGGAGGGAAGAAAGCTGCCTCCTAACCTGTGCCTGTCAGACTGCTCCTCCTGGCTGAGCAGGAGCTGACTCAGGCCTCCTAAAACATCAAGGGGAGCCAGGGTGAGGCACTGCTTCATCGGCAGAAAGCTAAGCTGCAGCAGCAGTCCAGTATCACAAGCATCTACTGCTACCATACTGGAGCCAGGAATAAGCTTCTCCAAGCCCATACAAACCAAATGACAAAGACTCCTCGCATGTGAATGTAAAACATTTAATTTAAAAATGTTGACACTACAATATATAAAATAGCTATTATAAATGCACATAGTGTATTCTATAGCTGCCAGGTTTACGTTTTAGGAAACTGTAAGTTACACTGTGGTTAAGAGTTGTAGTTTCACCCTCTGAAAAAGTCCACATTTGATCACAGTGATGTATGGTCAGACTAACAGCCCCAATTGTTAAACACTTGGATCAAGTCATAACCAGTTTTATTGCAAAAGGACCCTGTACACATTTATATCAATTCTAGTACCTTACAAGTTTAGCTACCCAACAAGTCATTAACATACAGAAACATGCATGAGAAGCAAGAAAGATCACCCATCCCTTCTGCATATTAGCAACTTGTCACTCCTGAGCAACAAGGCTCACATCACTGAGGTTTATGTGAACAGTCACTTTTAGCATTCATCCTGAGTGAAAGATGGAATGACTTAAGTACAAATGCAACATATTATAAACAATTTCTTACAAAAAAAAGTCACAAATTAAAACCAAAGTATTTTACAGAATTTACTACAAAACACCATAAAAACAGCCTTCACTTAAGCTCTCTCTCCCCGTATCCTGCGAGCCAACTGGATATCTTTGGGCATGATGGTGACTCTCTTGGCATGGATGGCGCACAGGTTTGTGTCTTCAAACAGACCCACCAGATACGCTTCACTCGCCTCCTGTTCCAAGAGGACAAGAAGAAACGTTAGAACCGACGTTAGAACCTTTCGGCAAAGCCCTCAGCAGGCCACCAGCACTACCTGCAGCGCACCGATGGCCGCACTCTGGAACCTCAAGTCCGTTTTGAAATCCTGGGCTATTTCCCTGACCAGCCGCTGGAAGGGCAGCTTGCGGATCAGCAGCTCCGTGGATTTCTGGTAACGACGGATCTCACGGAGCGCGACGGTGCCCGGCCTGGGTGGAATAGGAAGGATCGGTCAGGCGGGGCACGGCAGCGGCAGCCGGGCCGCAGCACAGCGTGCCGGCAGCCTTACCTGTAGCGGTGAGGCTTCTTGACGCCGCCGGTAGAGGGAGCGCTTTTCCGGGCCGCCTTAGTGGCCAGCTGCTTACGCGGAGCCTTCCCCCCGGTGGACTTGCGGGCGGTCTGCTTTGTACGAGCCATTTTTTCCTCACTTACCTACGAGGACACGCACCCGTCAGGCAGGGCCCGCTTCCCCCCGCGACGGCAACGACCCGCCGGGCCCTGCGATGCGGCGCTCCCCCCGCCTCCGATCCCCTCAAGCCCCAGAAGCGGCAGATGCCGGCGGGCCGCCCCCCCCCCTCCGCCGTCGAGGCGGGCATGCGGCCAGCGGCCTCCCCCGGGAGGAGGAGGAGGAGTCACGGTTCCTCCTCCGCCCCCGCTCCGCGTTGTGGCCCGACCGCTCCCCTCCCCAGGGGAAGCACACTGAGTCACGCCACCTCCTCCTTCCTCCCTGGCCACCCCGGAGGAGTGGGGGGATGGGAACCGGCCGTGACTCGAGGCACGTAGACAAGGCCCGAACTATCCGCCAAGCTCAGGGGAAAAAAAAAAAAAACACAACCGAGGCTTCCGAAGGCCGCGCAACACCGCAGAACGCGCCCGGCGTGCATCACTTACCTGCTAGAGAAAAAGGACGCACCGGCGCCGATATCGCTACGCACCGAAGCCTGCGCTGCCCTGACAACAACCGACTCCGTCAGCAGCTGCCCCCACACTGCGCCCTCCCCGCCGCGGGGACGCGGTTTTTATAGAGGGGGCGGCACACGGCGCGGTGACCTCACAATGCCTGGAAGCAGCGCGCCGCTCGATTGGCCGGGACCTCCGCCGGCGCCGTGACGTAATAAGACACAAAGGCCGTGCTCCTGTTCCTTGGCGCTGATTGGGTGCCTGCCCGGCCGCTGATTGGTTGTTAAAGTCGGCGGCTGATTGGATATTGTGAGACGAGAAGGGGCCAATAGACGTCGGGCGGGCGCTCTGCGCGCTGATTGGACGAAACGGGGCACGGTTTGGATCCTACCCTTTGTTGCAAAGCTCCACAATGGGAAGTCAATAGGAGCGGGGCGAGCGGCGGCGGGGCGCGGCGGGGCGGCGGGCGGCGGACTCCTGGCTCCCCGGACCTCAGCGGGCGGTCCCGGAGCAAGGGCTGCTCGGCCCCGCCGCCTGCTGGCCCGCCCCTCCGGCCCCGCCACAAAATGCCTTTCGCGGCGTGCGGTGCGGAGACTGCGAGCGGCGGGGTCGGGCCGCGCCGTAGGGAACCGCCGGGCTCCCCCCGGTCGTGGGGACAGCGGGGACACGCAGACGCTGGGCGCACGCTATGGGCTGGCTCGGCCGGTGTCGGAGAGGTGAAGGAGCTTGTTGTATGGGCTTGCTAAGGGACTGCCCAGTTCGGCACCGTGCAGCCCCAGCCCCATCGCGGCGCTTACAGCGTCCGTCCTCTGGCTTTATGAATGGGAGCAGCCGTATTGTGCGATAGGAACGCTTGCCACAGGATTTGGTTTTGAATCGGGGCAGTCCTACTGATGTGTTGCCCTCCAAAAGGCACCGCTGCTCCCTGCCAGCGGGAACGTCACCCTGGGACGTGCATGTCCTGAGGGAGAGCCTGGGAGTGTGCAGATGCTGCAGCTGGGCCCCTCTGTGCTGCTGTTCTCCACCTCCCTAAAACCACATTCCCACTCACTTTGTGGGTTGTCTTCTAACTCCATAGCTAATTACAAAGTTCTGGGAAGTAGGAAACCAAATCCTTAATGCCTGTTGGTTGTATCTAGGAAGATAATAGCAATTAAGTGAAAAGTTGTTGTATTTTGGGGGAGGTTGCTCCCTCCAGTTATGCCTTGCTGTTACGTTATTATATTCGCAGCAGCTGCTGGGGGTGGAGGCAGGTCCTGCCCCCACGGTCAGGAAGAACAGGTCCCAAATGCCCTGCAGTTGTAGCACACAGAACATGGAGTGAACGCAAACAGCCACTCCCGAAGGTATCTGCACTCAGCGTGCAGATGCAATCAGGCAGACTTTGCATGAGGTTTTGCATCCTCCCCAAATGCCTGCATCCCTCAGGCCAATGCCTGGTGCAAGAGCAGATCTGTGGCGGCTCCGCACGTAGCGTTCTTTGCTTCTCCCCTTCCTTGCAAGTCGAGCAATGCGCTCCAACACGGTGCTACAGGAATGTCATGTGCAGCTGCTGGGGGGACGCTGCCTCACGTGCATCTATTTGGTCCCCAACCACCTTTGCATGTTAATTTTCTTTTGGTCCTCGTGAAGAAAAACATGAATTACTTCTCAGAGACAAAAAGCAGCGCAGCAATAGGATGGCCCAGGAGGTGTGTAAACAGTCATTTGCATTTGACGTGGCTTAGAAAATTGAGATCTGAAATAAAGAGCTGCCCTTTAATCCGAGTTGTTCATGCTTGGGAAAAAAGAAATCTAGAAATCTGTTCTGATAGCTTCATGTATTCTAAATTTGATGTTTGTAGAAGCGTACCATACTATTGCTGACGTGAGGGGACAAGAGCATGGTGTTTGTTATCAGGAGTTGAAAGGCATTGCTCCTCTGATATTTCCTCTCCTATTTCTGTTGCAACGATTGCTTACACTTCTAAATTTAGACACTTTTGAGCTTTGTTCTCTTGGAATTAAGACTGGAGAAAAGCTCTACGTCCCAGTAGGTTAAACAGAGGATGAGGAAAAGGCGTATGCAGCAAAGCTGAGGAGAGAAAATGAACACTTTGTGTTAGCAAAGATGTGTGTGCAGATAGAGGTAAGTGCACCCAGGGCACACATAGCTGCGTGCTCTGAGCACTGTCACCTGGCAGAGTGCTGCATGTTCCCGACTGCAAAACAGAAGACAGCTGAAGAGGAAGCAGCATCTGCATTGGCTAGTCAAGTAAACAAAAAAGCAGCACACAATGCCTGGAGTCAATGCTTTCCGAATCCCTGTGCTTCAGCATTAGCAGCTGTTTGTCGAAGGTCTTTTTCCTGCAGCTTCATTGCTGGTGGTGTTCGTGCATTGGACACAGAGGTGCATACACATAGGTATTAACTGAAGGACTTCCACGTATACTCTTCTTGAAAAGTTGCCCAACTTGATCAGAAGCTGTATAATTACAGTGCTCCAGCCTCCTGGGGAGGGGCGGTACATGGAT